GGGGCGGGGTAGAGCGGAGCGAGGCGGGTTGGGCTGGGCAGTATGCTGCGGGGAACGTGGTTAAGAAAGACGCGGTGGCTGGGTGGGGATGACCCGACCCTGAGGGACCACGTTATGCAAACATGTGGCACATGAATAAATTGAAGTCGGCGGTGTGAGCTTCCCTCCTTGGTCTGGGTCGCCATACATAATAGCACGCTAGGCGACACCAGACCGAGGCCACTTCTAGGATCTCTAGCTACCTGTGTGTTTCGCGCTTCAAAGTCTTCTCAGAACAGGAATTCGTTGAGGGAGTCTCAGTCAGAATTTCATTGGATTTTTGTTTTCTTGCTCGACATGTTCGCTTCCTTTACAACTTTATCATCTCACATTCCATTCTTTATTAGACTTAATATCCCACCTTTTGTGTCAATATTGAAAGTACCATCGATAGCTGTGCAATGTGTGCTGGTTAAATAGCCTCGTGAATTAACGTGCGCTGTTCGATAGCGGTTATTTCCCTGAAACGCAAATGAAATTGCTCTGCGCACTAACAACCAAAAGCGTATAGCATTGCTTTATTCTAAAGTAATGTTTGCCATTCATATCCTTCAGCCTTATTAGCTTAATAAGCATTTCCGTGTGTTTTAGATAGAATCGCAGTCCATTACGTCTATATACTATCAGTTCGTGTGTTGAGATCTATATAATACATTTAGGTGTTTCACAAATTTGTTGTCTTCAATACCAATTTTATTTAATTTTGGAGACTCTCTATAAACAACCTAAAAATTTACTTATAGAAACATTGTGTTTATTATTTTCTAGTTTCGTTATTTTACGAGGCAGACTATCAAGTGGCTTGTAAATCTCTTAGTAAATTTCAGGTTTCAGCTCTTTCAGAACATTCTGTCATTTACATTTGATTGAATCATTGCAATTGTCAGAAACATGTATACAAATTTGGGGACGATCTGACAAGTAAATTTATTTAATAATAAACTTGGTATTCAAATACTTTTTGCCCGTGTATATGTAATAATTAGAGAATGTGCCATCCATAGGGATGTACCCATATTGCATTATTTGTCCATCTTACCGTAATTTTGTTTGTTGACCGAGTTATTGAATGCAATGTAAAAGTATTTAAAGATTTCTCAACAAGAGGTGCGGAACGTATTCTAGCGTGTAACTTTCAATTATCTGTTTCTCTGACAATGAAAATATTCATGTAAAAAATATTCATGTCTAAAATTATCATCTTGCAATAACATACTTGGGATTAATGTTCTGCAATTTGTCACGTCGCTGCATGTACCACGAATGTCACTTATTTAAAACTTGACCATCTGGAGGAAAAGTCGAACTAGAAGAGAAAACTAATAGCGTATAATGACGTCTTAGGTTTTCTGTTCTTGGTCTGAATGGAGGCTTCCTGCGTCACCGAAAAAACATATGTTACCGGAACGAATATTGACCTTGAGACAGACACGCAGCTAGGAGGAGGGCGAGGAGATTCAATCTACGCCCGACATTTTAAAAAATACACTTATTGTTCTGTTACTGTTTAGTTCATGTGTGTGTTAGAATGTTAAAAGTGACGTAATTTTACATTTATTTCCTGAAAATACCAGTAATATAAATAACGAAGTTTCATCTCACATCAAGTTCACAGAAACACGTAACAAAACTTTGCAGTGGAGTTAGCAAAATTTTAGTAAACATGTTCCCTGTGGATTAAGTCTCAAATATTATATTACTTATTTATCAAACTATCTGCAAGAAACGATTCTGTGTACGCTACTGCTATGAGGTCCAAAAAAGTTTAAAGCAATAATATAATTAACAAAAAAATTTACTAATTATGTAATTTTTTAACTTCCATTTATCTTTCGAGGTTTCTCTCTCTCTGTCCGTGGCTACAAGCTATTTATTGTTAAATATAACAATAACTACTCGCAAAATTACTAGAGAACTTTACACAAAACTGAATTCAAAATGAACATGTAGGCTTCCGCGGCTGGAGTTCATGACTTCTAGGCTGTCCGGGTGACGCCGCGTCGTTGGCAGAGAGGCCGACGTTTAGTATGTGTTACCGCAGGATTTTGCAGGGTAGTGACGACCCTGGAGAAGCCTGCGATATGACATGCGAAACGTCGGCCTCTCTGCCAACGACGCGGCGTCACCCGGACAGCCTAGAAGTCATGAAATCAAATCAGGCAAGTTTAAACCATAAAATAATACACTTACGAGAACGTGGGCACTCGGCATGGTCACGGGGAAGTAGTTTCCACCTTCCGCTGTTCCTCGCCGCTGGATTAGCGCGACTGCCAGAGCGACTTCCTCCCCGAGCGCTCCTGCGGGGCGCCCCATGCGTGACGGGTCTGTGTCGACGACCTCAACGTGCGTGATGTTGTGGGCTCGCTGAGCGCCGCGCACGGGTGAGTCGGAGCAGCAGCCACGCCTCTGGATTCGGAGACAAAAATCGAGTGACGATCATCACAATTAACATAAACAAATGAACACTCCTGAATAAGGTTTTATTACTTGTTACATCCGTCTAAACCATTGTATATATCTCGTTGTCCCAGGTAACATAGAAAAAACTTTTTTTTAGTTTATTTATTTTAGGTCGCTTTATAAACTACTAAGCTCATAATCAACCACCATTAATTTCCATATTAATGGCAGTTATTGTACCTTATAACAATCAGAATTATTAAATACAAAATTATACACCAGAGATATATTTTATAAATTATAACAAACAGAAGTATCAAGTGCAATACATTTTTACTACAATTTAGATCATTTTATGAACACCAGCAATATTAAGATAGTTTAACATTGATTTGCGAGCTTCAATTGAATTAAATATTTCATATAAATTGTTAGTGATGCTAAGAGACAATACTTTTATTTACTTTTGAATTTAAGATAATTAATCTCACAATTGAGAGTTTTAATTCACTACTTTCAAAACATTAGTACTCTTATATCTAATTGGCTCAATTTGTTCATTTCATTTGTATCTGACAACAAAACAGCACACAAGAAAATGGCATTCCACACCTAGAGCTATAATGAAGCCTAAATATGTGATGCAATTTGTAAAAATTATGTAATGTATAAAATAGCGTATGGCACTCGAGTGTAAAATGATTTTATTAACTGATGAAAATTAGTTTCTCAGTCTCTATCGTCAGATCGAGAACAAAATTTTCCATTCGTGCATTACATTTAGTTTACTCTTTTATATAGCACTATTATTTTTTAATTAAAACGTTAATGTAAATGTTTAAACCCCACTCTTGTTTGACGAAGATATTATACTTTGTAAAGACGTGGTTGTGCAGAATAGTTCAAGAACTGTTGGTCTATTTTTAATAAAAATAGAACTGTTGGTCTATTTTTAATAAAAATTAATTTTAAACTCCAAATTCAATTTTTAAATCATTAAAATTTTCTCATTTCGTAAATATTGGTTTCGTTTTCGTTAATCAATATTTGCGTACATTCGAATATTTACCGAATTTATATCTACTTCCATTGTTACAGTATTTCAAAGGATCTCAATGTCTGTGATGCTAGTATTCGTCTTGTCTTACGATATGCATGGTCGAGTCGGAACTAAAGCCCCAACTCTAAATTCAGAGAGGAAAATATGTTGATATTTAAAATTAACGCAAATAATCCTAACTTAAAATAATTTATTACTTTTTTTTAAATAAAGAAAATGTATGTTTATTAGTAGGAACTTTCTGTTCGATAAAAAGGATATCATGTCATGAAGATGTGAACAGAAAAATATGCTCAGGAATATTTAGTTCTTTACGTTCTACTGGCATGATATTTTAGAATTCTAAACGGAATTTTCGGTAAAAGGCTACTCATTAAAACGTTCTAAACGTTTTACGATTATTCTTCTTGTACATTTTAGAAGTATCATTCAAATACTATAGTTTTAAAATTCCTTTGTTCTCTGTGTTTCACACTGTTCTGAACACTTTATTTTATTATTTTGCTTCAATTTTCCCATCATCACATGTTGAAAATGACTATTAATTAACACAGCTTTCCATTATTTATTTGTACAAGTAGTAACTCACTATTACTTTATGTCATATCTATTGAAAGTTAAACAGTAAATCTCAACAATTATTTTGAGTTTTGGTTTGTTTAGAACGTTTCGATTTCAATGTAATGATAAGGATGCCCATGGTACTAGTGCGAAGTGACGTATTTTCGACACAAAATGAGTATCCGAGACAAACCCTGACGAGAATTATAGAGCGCCTCTAGACAATTCCAGTCGAACGCCAGATCACGACAATCCTTTGGAGGTCTCACTCTACCTCCTCCTTCCTAAGCCTCTAAGCCTAACGATGAGGCTAATCCCCAGACCCGTATGCGAGCCTACCCGCTATGGTCCCAATATAATGCGGAAGTACTGATTGTAAGCAATCAGAGCAGTTGGCCTTCGAAGACAGAAGGAAACTACTCTACATTCGCCAGTAGCACACCAAAGAATCTAGAACGTATAGGACAGGCATTTAAAAATGTACATTTCCTCCTTCCTTTTGAGCGAATGATGTTACAGCCCGGAACCTCTGCGTGCGTGGGAGTTAAGCTACCGCGCGTGCGCGAGCGCGCGCACGCTGGCGTAAATCACGCGTGTACGTCTCCCAGGCACACGATACGACAGCCTCGTTTTTCACGATTAATTTCCGGCCGCGGCCGCCGCCGCGTCCTTGTCGATATTAATGCGCGCCTGCCAACACGGCGCCCGTGACATGACGTACGGGCGGCGGGGGCCGGCGGGGGCGGGCGGGGCGCGCGGGGCGGCGCGGGGCGGCGGGCGGCGGGGGCGGCGGGGGCGGCGCGGGGGCGGCGGCGGCGGAGCGGAGACGGCGCGGGAGACGGCGGCGGTGGCGCCGCTTCTCAAATCCGGCGAAATCTCTGTGGCGGGAAGATAGAGGGCGGCAGCGAGGACGGGGATGGGGTGGGGTGGGGGCGCAGCGGGTTCGAGATGAGTGTGAGACGCGAGGTGGAGAGGAGTCGAGGAGAGACGGACAACCGGAGCAGGTGTTAATGATTGTGACTGTAATGATTGTAACTGTAATGATTGTAACTGTAATAATTGTAATCATACTTTTAATATTTCTATAGAGCTTTGATCATGACGCATTCCACTGGGAAGTATCCACTAACATAAATACTTAGGCACGTGGCGTTCTTGCGAATGAGGCACCCGCTAGCAGCCCGCAGCTGAGTAAGCCTTAAGGTGACGACGACATGTCCGAAAGTAAGGCATCAACAAAGAGAGGCGTTTCGACGCCTTGTGGCCACGTCATGTTTGGGGAAGGGAGGCCACGTGCCACCCAAGTGGAAGCGTATGATGAACAAAGCCCTGAGAGTTACTATAAAATTACGCCCACGGGCCTCGCCCGGGGACTCTCTGAGCTACCGTTTACTTGGACGGAGGTCTCCACATCACTTTGATGTAACTTGTTTTCTGTTGTTAACTTCATTTCTGTGTAAAGTAAAGGACTCTTGCTTCGACATTGCTAAAACATATTCGTCTTTCATTTTCACTTGTGCTGATTCCCCCATCCTGCAGTCTTCTGAAGGGACTTAGCTCCCAAGACCCATTAAACTTTAAATAATTTGTGATATGCTTTTGCTGCTTTAACTGCGACGCCCTGTCTGCCTATATCATTGCAGTGAGTGCAAGCGGGGCCTAGCAAGCAGCAACTCAAGTATTACAGTGGGTGGGGAGAGCTGGGGTGGCAGGCAGAGTGGGAGAAGCATGGAAGAAAGACGGTGAAGGAGGAGAGCAAGTTGGGAGGGTAAGGGGACGGCGAGGGCTCGGTGGAGAGGGAATGGGGGCGGAGAGAGGAGGGAGGGAAGCGAGGCGAGAAGGGTGGGGTGCATTGGAGACGACGGTGGGAGGCAATTTGAGGAGGCGGTGTCGTGTGTGAGGAAGGATGGTGACAATGACGACGTTCATGTCAGGAGGAGCGGAGAGAGAAAAGATGAGAAGAGGGTAAGAAAGCTGGGCAGAGTTGAGGGCGAAAGAGAGGTTTCGAAGGGAACGTCGGAAGTGAGAGTGCAGACGACGGAGCAATCAGCGATCGAGAAGCAACGCCAATATACGCGAGGGCGGTGCGGTTTGCAAATACCTTCCCAAAGCACTACCAATCCCATAATTAAGTTTGTGTTGTACACTCAGCAGTAAACACTAGTTGTGCCTGCGCTTCTCAACTTCCTATTCATCGCTAGAGCTGTCATTTTCATGGCAAATCACAAAGGTTCTTCAGTCTTTATGACTGCTTGAACATTATTCTCTCTATTTCAATACTAAATGGTCCTATTTCCCTTAAACATTTCAATGCGTATTTTCATTGTATGTTTGAAGGCAAGTACCCTTGCTTGAAGTATATTTTCCCCTCAATATCATATATTTGGTTACAAATTTCGTCTTCCTAAAATAAGGGTAGTTTTCTGACACGAATATCCCCCTTGTGATGCCTCACAGTTGGAATTGGATTAGCTCCTGCTTGTTGATTCTTATTATTGGAAATTGCGATCAGCATAAACCAAAAATGTGTTGATGTGTTGTTTTGAAAACAATATATTGATCGATATTAATATTATTCAATACTAATGGTATTATTTAATTTGTAAGTTTTAATCGAATATTGTTCGTAAAGCATCTGTTCAATTATACGGACTCCTTCTGCGGCATTGGAAGTAAATATGCATGATTATTGGTTCTTTATAAATCACTGTCTTGTAGTATTTTATCCAATATTTTCAGATGTATAAGCATGTTACTTTGTTATTTTAGAACAATGCAAAGGCATAATTTTGTTAGTCGATGAAAGTTCGAGGAATAGTTGTACTCTGACACGAGTGATACACAGGTTTATAAGGCATTCCCCGGGAAAAATTAACTCGTGCATTTGTAAGGTATAAACATCAATCTCACCTGGTTCCATTTTTCATTTCGCAACGCCTGTTGTACGTTAGCCATTTCGCTTCCTATCCACCCTCATCCATCCTCTTTCGACCTCACCCACTACAGAATCCACTATTTCCTATCCTTCTTTGGAAGGTATCCGAATCGTTTTTCCTCTCTTGCTCACATCATCCCGGCAATTTCTCTTCGTCCCATCCCTTCTGCTCCGTTCTTCTTCTCGCCATTCATTTTCCCCGCATTTCGCCTGCCCCTTCCTTCTCGCCCTCTGTGAACTCCAAAAGCTGAGAAGGATCAGGGCAACTGTGTTGCTGCGGCAGTAGCTCTGATCTGGAGGCTCAAGGATTCGAATTCCGACGGTGCCGGTTTTTTTTTTTACTCAAGCTGGATATCTAGATCCAATTCAGCCGCTGTCTGGAGAATAATTCTATAGGCCGGCTGCTCTGATCAGTATTTTCCCACGCAATATTTCCTTCTTCCTTTGTCA